GCCTGCAATATGCTATTTTTTGCCATGCATTTCTATTTTTGGATTATGTGTAAACTTACTAATGATGTATGCTTTGTGCACGAGGGTGACTCATCACTAATTAACTTTAAAAAGGATACTGCTGTTCTTGCTATCACCACTGAAGTGTAAAAGCCCAATATCATTAACTTCAGATCGGAAAATATCAGAAAATATCAGAAAATATCAGAAAATATACCCCCCACGACAATAGAAAAAGTGAGCTCCCTTGAAAGCCATGGTATAATGTTATTGATTACACCTGTGCTTTTCCTGATGAGAAAAAAAGTCCATATTGGTATCATTACAGCTCTACAAACATCTATAATGGGGGGTGGAGGGGTCACAATTGTCAAAGCAATCACCAATATTGATTTCATTATCATAATACACTGCAGATGCACTAACATGACTGGACTACACCACAACACATAAAGACACATGGAGTGATTTACACATTATATTATTATTATGTATTATACAAACAATGCCTCACAATGTGTCAAACTGTTACACAGTCATTTGAAATACCTTCACGTTGCCCAAAATGATTGCTGTCACACCTAACCAAATAGTTTGTGCGACCATGCCAGGTGTGACCATAGCCCCGCCCACAACTAACCTGATTGGACAGACTCTTGCAATGCCGATTCCTGAGCAGGATGTCTCTTCCTGCTACAGTCCTTTCAAAGCATCAATTAGTAGAAACCGTTCTCTGAGGCTCTGGAACTAATTTCCCTACAGTGATCTTGGTAAGCAAATTGTGACTTAGCAACAATATTTATATTTTGATCAGCCCATAAAACGCTAGCTTAGCATTAGCCCTGATTCAGGAGGCCACCACATGTAGTGTGAAGTATTGTTATGACGGACATTAAAAAGGTAAGTTTGCGTTAGTTTAAGTCTCTAGGCTACCTGATGATTACAAACAGCCAACTTTATGACTGTTACCAATTTTCAGAGGTATTTCTGTTTGCCAGTGTTAGGTGAGCTGTAACTTTAAGTTTAACTTGAACTAAGAAAGTTTTTCCCTGTTTTATCTAAAAGATGATGTTATGTTTTCAACTGCAGATAAGTAATTTGAGCCAGTTAGCTATAATAATAATTTATTTCAATGTCACACTACACTTAGTCATATTGACATTTAAGTCTATTTGTATTTTGCATAAATATAAACTTAAATTGAGTAGGTAGTAGTAATATTAGTCTTTGTACACACATGTCACTGTATGGTAATGGAGTAGTTTTCCATAACTCTACAATATAGTGGGACCTTCTAACTACTGCAGTGCTGTCGCTTGTTAATTTGCTCATTACAGTCATGATAAACTATGATACTACCACTGAAGTCAAGTGACAATGGCAATTTGCTCACAATCCTGATGGTACATGACCACATAACTGGTAGACTTTACCATATTACTCAACCATCATGCTGCTGACCAAATTCCCATGCCATTTTTTGAAAGTATTGCCATGATAGATAGAAGTTATAGATGGCTGTCACAACAAAGTCAGAGCGCAGCCCCAGAAGTAAGTCTGTCTGACTGCAGTTGCTGGAGGGGGGGATTTGTGGGCATCCGTCAGCACTAACTGGAAGTGACAGTGTGCAGAGAGGTCCTAATTACTGTCTCACTTGACTAATTGTCGTCTCTGAAGAATGTATTCCCACTGAGGGCCCAGGGATCTCATTGACAGCACTGCTCAAGACATATAGGCCAGTGCTGACTTTAGCATGCTGTTATGTTCAAAGGCATCGCTGAAGCAATGCCACATTTGGGAAATGTATTGAACTTGAAAGTGCCATGATTACAGGCTGAAGTGACGTGCGCTTGGCATGGTGTATTTGCAGGCACAAACGCTGTTATATTGTTCTGTATGTGTGTGACAACTAAAGTGTGCGTGTTTTTACACGGCCCTTCTTCAACTTGACAAAATGTTAAGACGTCATTTGCTACAGTCATCCTGACATAATGGACTGATGAAGTGAGACCATTGTTGGCTTTCTGGAGCCAACCATGTTAAAATAAACTTGTAGCATTCAGAATAATGCAGTAGAGATGAGCCTTTAGTACAGGGCGACTGAGCTGAATGAATGTCTTCTCTTTCAGGGTCTTACCATTCAAAGTGCATCAGCTTCTCGTTTCCATGGTTTCCTTCCCTTTGCCAATGCTATCTTACCACCAGTCTGCTTGTGAGAGAGTGTGAGCGAGGGAGGGGGAGAGAGAGAGAGAATGACAGAAGGCTTTTAGCAGTGGTTATCTCTCTTTTGCATAAAGTCCCCTTTGCATTACCCAGTGCATGAATGGCATCTGAATAAACACACCAGCCAGCTCATGTGGAAGCCTCCGTGGGTTACAAGCGAGTGGGTGTGTATAAAGTAATCTAATTTGTGGTCTCCTTCAAAAACGACACGGTTTGATCATGGATGAATAAAAAAGAGTACATCTCCCAAATGGTGTTTTCCTATTAGTCACAACGAGCTAAAGGAGCAGGAGTCATTTCACCGTCATAATGAGACAATTTGCCATTCCCATCACCTCCTCTCTTTCTAACTGGTTTACACACACAGTTATCTCATCTTGACTGGCTTAAGGGGAAGTGAAAAGTTTGTTAAACCGTGTCTTCTAATTGGTAATCAAGATATCAAAAAAACAAAATACAAACTAGGAATACTTACAGGGGAGACTAACTGATTGTCCTTAAATGACCTCTGCTCAGGCACACACGCATACAATACAATGTAGATTTATATTGGAAAAATCAGCTCATAATCGTTTGTGGCAGCCTTAATTCTATTCCGCAAATTAAATTTTGGGAGCATTAAGTGCAGGGGCACCTGAGGACTTTTCTTAGTGCACTACCTTACTACTGGGCCAGAGGGCGCTGTGACTTTAATAGGAAACCAACATGGCCTGTCAGTCGATGTCTTCTCCCTGAGCTCAATAAGCATTCCTTTCATGCTGTGTGAAGCTCTGCTGACTTACATGGAAACCCTGAATTTCTCCATAATTATGCTAATGGTCCAGATGGTAGCATGATGAGTGCCATTCTCTTTGATATTCTCACACTGCAGAGTACTTGTGCGCAGACCCACGCAAACCGACACACGTTCAAAGTCAACGTTCACACCACATACTTGATCCCGTGTAATTGCTTCCAAGTTTCCTTTTTCTAACACAAGCGCCCTCTAACTATTTAATGCATTTGCTTTTATTTGTCAAGGGGGATTTGACAGATACGCTAATGTGTGTGTGTGTGTGTGATGGAGTATAGCTCCAATAAAAGAGAGGGTATAGGTGTCAGTTATCCTTTGCTTATTCACACATGTACTTATAATATCACCATTTTGCAGTCTAATAAAGATACAACACATAGGCAGTGCATCAATGTAATCCTTACTGACATCAGAGGAGATAAATATACCATAAAGGCACACCAAGGTGGCCTTAAAGACCTAATTTAAATAAAACCAAAAAGCCCATACAGGAATATTGTACTGACTTTATTTTGGAGAACTTCTACACCACACACACAGGCCAGCCATTCACACTTGAGTCACACAATGACAGTGTTCATTCAGGCTTTGGACTCTTGTGGTGCTGATCAAAGAGCTCCTTTCACATCTCCGATGGGATTAAACAGCCCTCTACCCTCCACCCGCACCACTGTATACCTATATGTATCGCCCTCCAGCTGATACACTGGCCCAGGAAGAGCTGCTCATCGGGGGCGGACGCTGATAAGGTGCATGTAGTGTTAAATCAATAGCATGTTAAGGCCCAAGCAAGAGCTGCAGATATCCATCTCCTCGGCCCAACGCGTCACATAGGAAGGGAGACTCGTTTGAACTCTCTAATCAGATAGAAACATGACAGGCCTACTTTACAGCCTCATATGGGCCCGCCCGTTCCCCGTGAAATGGAACCAGTGGCCCCCTTTTGTGTGCGATGCTCAACCTTTCACATTGGAGGATGGCTCACACTCGAGAATAGTCTGTTGCTGGAAGGCTTTCAAGTCTAAAGTGGAGTTATTTGCATAGGTTAAATATTCGTGCCTTTCAGCAGCTTCTGTCGATATTACGGATTTGCTGTTCTGCCAATTTTAATTCCTTTCATCCCTCTCCTCCCACATTCCTGGGATGACGCTGAAAAGTGTTGAAAAAGGTTGATGCTTGAAGTCCCGCAAAAGACGTTTAGAAAAGGGAAGTTGTGAATGGGAAAAAAAACAATAAAGTGGACATGCAATATCCTACTTGGGTGTAGAAAACAGCTTCTGCAGGCATGTTATGGTATCACTAGAGTGCAGATGTTGGACCAGTTGTTGTGTTAGGTTTAGTGTGTAGGCTACATTATTTTTCATGTGCCAAACACAGGAAAGATACTTCCACACTGTCATTGCTTTCTGCGGCCAGCATGCAACAAACAAGCGAAAAGCATAAACATGCCACTTTATTATAGGATCAAGATATTTGATAGTAACTTTATTTTCATCATTGAATAGAATTGCCCGTGACACTGTGCCTTGCTGTTGTGAATTGACCCATATATGGAGGTGATTTGGAGGTAATTTGCAACTAGTTCACCGTGAAGTTACTGTTGCTCTGTGCACGTGAAATATTCCAAATTCAAATACATGCGAGCTTGGG